GATAAGTGAACACTGTTAATATATTTTAAAGAGCATTTCTTGCAAAGAACCAGTTTGATTCCCAGAACTCATGTTGCATTGCTCATTAACTGCTTGTAACTCTAGCTTTAGAGGATGACTTCTCTCCTGGCCTCTGTGGGAACCTATACACAGAGACACACACATACACATCTGACACATTACTTAAAACATGCCACAGGGAGTAGGTTTTGTTGTTTTGTTGTCTTGCTTGGTAGCCCAGGCTGGCCTCACAGCAAGTGCCAGCACAGTGGCCTTGTCTTGCTTTCAGTTGCTTTGTCCTCAGGATCATTCATGTAGCTGAGTTTGAATTCAACTGTAGGGCAGGACTTACAGAAGTCCTTCTCCCACTTCTGGAGGTATGAGCCATAGCCAGCCTGCCGGCAAACGGCTCCCCAAGGGGCTGCTTTGCATCTTGTCTTATTCTTGGGTCCAGCAGGTCTCTGTAAGTTCCCTAGCCTTCTTGACAGTACACCAGCACCCCACCCCCTTCATTCCTTCCACAGTGACTCACTGGAAGCTTTTGCAGCGGGATAAATACGGGCATTCCCACCGAGTTTAAGCATAATGTACCCTCCAATGCCTAGTGCTCATTTCTCATTTCCCACAAGACAAAAACAAGACCGTGAGGCTGTTGCTATGTGAGCGGCTCACATGTGCCCACACTTGATTAAAGTCTTTATTTCTGTGTGCCTGGGCTCCTCCATCTTACCAGCCAGGAGGAGAGATCCTGCCGCCAGGGAGTCTGAGGGCCGGCCTTAGAAGCAGCTTGGAATGCAGGACTGCAGGAGCCAAGACAAGGCAGGACTTGTGGCTGTCCCGCGCTGGGTCTCTGTCCAGGTAGGAGGTTTCTCAGCTTCCCCTTTGCGGGTGCTGTGTTCTGCCAGCACAACACTGCTTTTCAGCTTCCCTTCTCTACCCAGCAGAGTGCAGACATGTTCATTCCCATCTCAGTCCTGTGCCATGTTTTGCAATGTGGAAGAAGGTATTCTGGCCCTAGCTGCCTCAAGCCCTTGGATGACAGAAAGAGCTACAAAGGAGCCACTAAATAAAAAGGAGGCAAGACCTGGGGTTTTCTCTAGGGTCTGAGCCCGGCCACGTCCACCTGCCCCAGGAAGCTGTTGAACGGACTTGGGTGGCAGTGAATGAACCTGGGGCCTCCTTCCCAGAGTTATCCCCAGCTACAGGGCTCTGTGGACATGGAGGAGTGGAGGAGGGGACAGGGACAGAGCTCTGTACTGGTCCTTCCTGGGCAATTCAGTGTCATCACAGGCAACACACAAGCAGGTGGCCATCTCTGCAAGACAGTCAGAGGTGGGACAGCCCTGGGCATCTCTCCAAGACAGTCAGAAGGGGCACAACTCTTCCACTATAGAGGGCAGAGGACGCTGACCCTGACCAAACAGGTGCCAACATGTCAAAAATGAATACAGACTAATCCAAGTGATACAGGCACTAAACTTAGAGAACAACTCCTTGGCTTGATCTGAGGGGACAATAACCTTAGGCCCAAGCTATGCAGAGCAAAGGTACTCACCCACCCATCCTCATGCACACCCCTGCCTACCACGGGAGAACACTCTCAAAGTAAGGACCAGGAGAGGTAGGACACCTGCCTGACATCCATGAGGATTTCCAGGCTTAAAAAAAAAAAAAGCAAGGAGGAGGAAGAGGAGAAGGAAGAGGAAGGAGGAAGAGGAGGAAAAAGAGAAGGAGGAAGAGAAGGAAGAGGAAAAGAAGGAGGAAGAGGAGGAAGAGAAGAAGGAAGAGGAAGAAGGAGGAAGAGGAGAAAAAGAAGAGAAGGAGGAAGAGGAGGAGGAAGAGGAGGAAAAGAAGAGGAGGAAGAGGAAGAAGAGGAGGAAAAAGAAGGAGGAAGAGGAAGAGGAGGAAGAAGACAAGGAAGAAGAGGAGGAGGCAGCCAGATAAGTTATTTTAAATCAGAAAACGGACCCTTCCATTTTCATACCAAGAGCTCCTTGGCTATAGAGCATTGGAAAGAGATCACTGGCTAGGATGGAGACAGGGTCAGAGGCAACCACAGGCTTCATGACACCAGAAAACTCACACAAGAGACGTGTGGGACCCCTCAGTCTCACTGAATTTCAGGAAGAAACCAGACATTCTGCAGAGGTATCTATCAGCAAATACTGGGGAGAGTAAGGTCACTGAGGCTAGGCAGGGAGGCGGAGAGGGTACACTGAAGGTTTCCTGTTGGCTTAATGGCCCAACATCCTCTCAGGATGGAAGACTAAACAATGAGATTGACTCAAAGGAAATACACAATATTTTTAAAAATGACTTTCTAGAAATTGCTATTTGTCACGTGTTCAGATACAACCCTGAGGAGCAAAGGAGACAGGAGGTATCTAAGGATAAGGCTGTCAGTGGGGATTAGGGAATCACCAGCAGAACAAAGATTCCAGCTTACAGATGCTGCATCACCATGCGGAGGTTTCTAGGTGGAGTAGATGCTGTGACCCACTGCAGAGGTCAGGATGACAAGACGACACATGAGCACTCCAGCTGAGGAAAATAAACGAAGGGTTTGCCTCCCCTCACAGTAAAAAGACCCCTGGGCCCCCAGCGAGGGCCTAACTGTAGATGACATCACCAGTTTCTCGAAGACTTGAGTTCTATCAGCGCACAGGTCTAAGGAAGAACACTGGCTGGAAGGCGCAGAGGGGCCTTCCCAGGGAGGCTCCTGGTGTGGAGGCAGTGGGGTGATGAAGCAGCCCCCTGGAACCACATGCACACGCACACAGCTGTTGTCACATTAAAGCTCAGCTTCGCTCCTGCTGAGGTTTTCCCTGACCTGAGCAAAGTCTGTGGGAAGGAAACACAAGTTGTAGAGCGTAGAAGGCAGTTCCAACATTTGAGATCACAGCCGTGGAGTCCCACTCTGCTAAATCAATGAAAGTAAAGGAAGACCCTCACTGGTCATAGTGGCACACGCCTTTAAATCCCAGCACTCAGGAGGCAGAGGCAGGCCAATCTGAGTTCAAGGCTAGCCTAGTCTACAGAGTGAGTTCTGTACAGGTCAGCCAAAGCTGAAACAGAGAAACCGTGTCTTGAGAAACAAAAACAAAAAACAGAAGACTCAATGAGACCCACCCAGCTGTAGCCTTTAAGCATGGAAACTGAACTTAGGGTACATATCCTTTAATATAAAACATTTCTTGAAGGGCTGACAGGATCACTCAGTGGGTAAAACTGAGCCAGGTTCTGGAAGCTACATAAAGGTGAAAGGCGAGGACTCCATGAAGTTGTCTTCCGGTGTCATGGCACATGTGTGGCCACATACACACCGTATGTGACAAAAAAACTAATACTTGTTATACATTTTTACACAACTGAGTTCTTCATATAGACTGCCAAGATCATTTAGTATCCTCTCCCATGAAAATAACAGCAACACAATTTGAACTATTAAATACTATCAGAGCTAATTCATTTTCAGCTGAGTTCATAAACAATAGACTCCTGTAGAACAAGCAATCGGAAAACAAGACATGGGGGTTTTTGTGGACAGGAAGTGAACAGGACTGATTCTCATGTACCCTGAACTAGCATGCAACTTCCTATGTAGCCAAAAGATGTCCTTGAACTTCTAATATTCCTGCCTCCACCTCTGGAGAGTGCTGGGAACCCGGCCTGTGCCACCACACCCCATCCACGTTTATCTTGTCCTAAGGTTTAGTTCCAGGTCTCTGTCATGATGGGCAAGCTCTCTACCAAATGATCAACACCCCAGGTCCTGGAACGAATTTTCAAAAGGCAAAAATGGGAAAAGAAAACCGTCTACAGCTGTGCATGGTGCCACAACCTTGTAACCTCAGCATCTGAGAAACTGACGCTGCAGGGGTGGGGCTGGGGGAACAGTTTAAGGCCACCTTAAGCCACAAAGTAAGACCAAATAAAAAAATGGTCATGGGCCGCGCGGTGGTGGTGCACGCCTTTAATCCCAGCACTTGGGAGGCAGAGGCAGGCAGATTTCTGAGTTCGAGGCCAGCCTGGTCTACAGAGTAAGTTCCAGGACAGCTAGGGCTATACAGAGAAACCCTGTCTCAAACCTTCCCCGCCCACCCCCCAACAATAATGGTCATGGTTCAACCAACATTTTCTTTTGTAGTGAATCTGTAGTAAGAGTGGCAGTGTACCCCTGAAGCCTATTTTTTTAAAGTTAGTGTACATACTTTGTGAAAAATTATGCAATCTCTAAAGTTGTCTTAGAAAAAGCCAAAACACAAACAGTGAGTGTGCATTCAGCAATTCTTCCAGGGTTCTGAGCAGATCCCCAGTCCCAGTGGGCAGCTGCCTTCACACACTCCTGGTCACACTCCTTTCCCACTCCACGGCCACTACATGCACTAGAAGCCATCTTCTCAAACAATTCTGCATACCTTTCATAAAGGAAGGTAGTAGACATGGGTGCTCTAGACCAGGGTTACTCAGTCCATGTCGTGTCAAGTCAGTAAAAGGGTTTGGTTGATCTCAGAGAGGCCTTGGAGGAAGGGCATGAAGGTGTATATTAGTTAACAGGTTGAGAAAGAAAGTGCAAGCCATGTCTGGAAATGTCTGGATCCTTCTTACAGACGCTTGGGGTGCAGGGGCCCAGGTGCTTTCTAGCTGAAGTGCATTTCTTCAGTTCCATCATCACTGTGGAGATAGAGGGAGGAGGAGCTCTAGCAGTTCCGGGCCAGCCTGGTCAACATACTGAGCACCAGGACAGCCAGGACTCCATAGAGACCTCCTCAAAACAAAAACAAAAAAGCCGGATGGCACAGGTGTCAGAAAGACACAAACAGCACCTTTTTATGTGTCCAGTGGGAAGTGCTTTTGAGACTAGAGATTCAGTGATGGCTAACCCACGGAGACACACTGTTAATATAATGATTACTGTAATGGTTTTTGGGAAAGACAGCCCAGGGAGGATGTCATGAAACACAGGGAAACAAGAACAAAAGATTATCACTTATTACACGTGACGATTAAAAAATACAATCACTTTATTTCCACATTTTTCCCAGTCCCTAGTAGCACAGATGAGAATAAAGCACAAAAATATTTCAAGAAAGCATGTTACAAGATAGAAGATATAAGCAATATTTTGGCAGAACTTTATTTTCTCTAGCAGGTCATACCCGCCCCCCCCCCAATCCAAATTCTAAAATTCAAAAATAAGAGTTAACTTTATCTAACATGTTACAGCTTAACATTTAAAACATCATGCTAGGGGCTGGATCTGGGAGGAGATGGGTGGTGAATGCAATCAAAACAAATTGCATGAAATTCTCAAAGAACTAATTAAAAATGAGAAAAAAATAAAATATCATGCTCTAGTTAAATATTTCACAAACAACACTGTATACAAATAAAATATTACACAAAATATTTTTTAAGAAAATGTTTTGGTCTTTGATCTGAACAATAAATAAAAACATAGGCACTTCTACACTGAGACAGGAAAGCGTCACTATCCAGGAGAATTTTATTAAGGAATTACATGTGATAATATGGCAAGAATAGAATCTTGGAGTTTTAAACTGACAAAAACCACTTACCAAGTTCGGAAGTCACAAATGCTTCCTGGCTCACACTGAACACTCACAGACCCATATGGCTGTCGGGCCACTCAGTCTTCAGTTGACCCTTAGGGAATCACACTCATGATTTTCAAAATACTAAAATTAGGTTTAACTACCATGATGCCACTTAGGAAACCAATCACAAGTAAAAGAAAATCTCCTCTGTCCTAATGGCCATAAGCCCTGACAAGAAGAACTATGTGCACCGCAGTAACGGTTTCTAGTCACAAGGACAATACTGCTGGGTGACAGGGAAGGTTGACGTCAGTCCACTTTCTAGACAACTTTTAAAATCCATCAAAATCTTATGAAAATACATAGAATTCCATTTCACAAAACCACCAGGCTGTGTTCTACAAAATCTTGATAAGCCAATAGGTTTATACACCTGGCATATGTGTGTATATATATATATCTCCATCATTAAAGTGAAAACAGGAGCATACCACATTCAAGAACAACAACAAAAAATCTTCATGGTCAAATTCTGGAGGAGAAAGAAAACAAATTAGAAACTGAGGACCGGCAGCCAGAGGAAGAGTGGTAACCACTCACTCTGCCATGCTGAGTTATCTTCACAAGGTGAGGGATAGACCGAGGGCCTGGAGGCCTAGGTGCTACCTACTTGGGAAGGCTAACGGCCTCACACAGAACTCACCTACTGTGAAAGCACATGATGGGAACTAATCAGGCTAGGCCTTTCTGTGAAATGTAGCTCATGTATATTTTAGCATTTTAAATTAGGACTTTGCAGCTGAGACCAGATGTCAATCATCTCTTGAGGTTTTCTGCTATGTACTAACATTAGATCTATATATGAACAAATATTTTTCTTATTTTTCTCTTCAATATCAAATGTCCTGAAGCCTTTGTGTTTCTCTGGAACAAGGCCCAGTTTCTGAAGGCACATTCCAGTATAAACATCATCGATAGGGTAGAGATGGACCCGGTCAGTTACATTGTACAGCCTCAAGGCCAGGGGGCCAGAGTACAGGAATCCACCGCCCCCTGCATACGGTGGGTAGACCCCGGTGTAGAAGACTTCTGGGATGTAGTACTTCAGTTTCTTATCCCGATGAGGCCCAGCGTTGTGGATCACGTCACCTATGAACAAGTCTTTGGCTTTGCTCTTGGATAAGCTATTCAAGTAATTAAGGATGTGATGGGTGTTCACAAACACATCATCATCGCCCTTGAAGACAAACTCTGCGTCTGGACAGGAAGTGCTCACCCACCTGAGAAACAGCACTTCCTTCAGGGACAGGTTGAAGAATGTGTCTCTATAGTTCCACATGAGGATGTCCTGGTGCTTCTCACTCTCGAACTTAAGCATGTCTGAAAGGTCAGGGTGGTTGTCCTCTGGGGGTGTCTTGCCCAACAGGAAGACCCTCACTACTGTCTGGTTACCTACATTGGTTTCTTGGCCCCATGATTCCCGAATTGCTTGCCTTCTGGCAAAATGTGGAATGAGGGACTTTATCGCCAATAGTAAGAAGGGCTTCTTCACACATTTCTTCGGTTGGTCAATAAGCAGCGAGTAATTCCGGCATCTCAAATACAAGAGAAAGTCTTTAAATCTGTCCGGCAAATTGTTAAAATCTGTCACCGCTGTCATGACCGTGGAGTCTGGCTCACAATAGTTCAGGTGACTTGTGTTTGGAGATGTGTACAGGTCCCCCGTCTGATTGGCCACCCTGTTCAGGATGGGATTGTACCACCTGTTCAGCTTCTCCTGTTCCCGGTTCCAGTATGCCCGTGGTGGGCTGGGCAGCTTCCAGAATGTCTCTCTGGGTATTATCACTCCTCCCTTTCCATTCTTTTCTTGGCTACTATTTTTGGAGACTTCCACAATCAGATAAATGAAGACATTTGCCATCATCAGGACGCCCAGCAACTTTACTCTTCGACGCCCCACACTCATTTCTCATATCTGGGAAAATGAAGGAAAGCATGTTATTCAACTGTGAATCTGATGCCCATGTACACTTTAGGCTTAGCATGGTGACACATGCCTTTACTTCCAGCACTCAAGAGGCAGAGGCAGATGAATCACCCAGTTCCAGGCCAGCCAGGACTACACAGTGAGACCCATTCTTTATTTTTTAAAAAGTCTTCCTAAGAATAAATGTTCTAAAATAAGGACTCCGGACTCACCAGCTATGGTTCAAATTAAATCTCAATTTCTACATCTACAAAGGGGGTTGGTTATATAAAATATGTAATTTTTGTATACAAGGCTTTTCAAATCCCGCCTGGCCCGTTACAATCACTATGTAAGTAATGGTTAATGTATTTTAGACACTTGGAGGGCAGAAGCAAACAACACAAAGTAAATAACCTTGCGATTGTTCAACTACTTTGCTTAAAAAGGTATATACAAATCAGAGCTTTGCAAACTAAGTCACCTACAATTCATAATAACAAATTTTTAATTCTGTGGTTCAATATGTACACATACATTATAAATTACATGTTACACTACGTACAGTGTCATGTCATTCACTCTAAATTTCTGTCAATTTAAAAATGCAGACCCAACCCCGAATTACTTACTAACCTAACAATGTAAATAAAGTGAAAATCGGTGGATTGTTTTAAGTTCATTGGCTTCCAACAGAGAATCCCAAAGTGAAAAGGGATTTGTTGTGCTGATAACACTGTGAAACTATTCTAGTTTGGACAGTTCAGTTCATAGAAAGTCAAGGCTACTTGTGTCTCTTATATATAGTAGTGTGTAAAGAGCCTACTATAGAAAGCTTAGTTAGGCCCTCCATAACTATAGATACACAGATTGTGTAAATACACAAAAGAAGGGGCTGGAGAGACAGCCCAGCAGTTAAGAGCCCTTGCTGTTCTTGTAGAGGACCCAGGTTTAGTTCCTAGCACTTACATGTCATAACCTTTGAATTTCCTGTCTTTCTGTCCCCACATCCTAAGGACCAAGATTATAGGGATCTGTCACCATACCTAACTCAGTCCTTCCAAACGACACTTTTCAAAAGTAAATGGTTTCCATTATTTTTTAGAACTTCTTTCGTTTTTATTTTATGAGTGTTTACCTGCATGTATTCATGTGTGCCACATGCATGCCTGGGTCTATTGAGGCCAGAGGATGGCGTAAGATTCCCCTGAACCTGGAGTTACAGATAGTTATGACCTGCCCTGTGGGTGCTGGGGACCACCTGGTCCTCTGCAAACACTCTTGCTCACTGAGTCATCTCTCCAGGCCCTCCCAAAAGTGTTCTCTTTACATTGGCAGATCCACTGCTAACATGAGGCCTTCATGGAGCTGAGGACGAAGCACTTGCTATGCAAGCAGAGGACCTCAGGGTGAGCATCTCCAAGCCACACAGAGCTGCATAGCATGCCTGTAAGTCTGTGCTTCAACAGGAAGCCAGGTGCTGGACAGATCTCTGGGTTCAGCAACAACACAAAAGAGACCCTACATCAAATAGTCAGAAGATGAAGACTGGCACTATTAGTTGGCCTGGTCTCCTACATGTGTGCTGTAGCAGCCACGGGTGCATATGTGTGCATGTGCAAAAGCACACAAGCACCCAAGCACACAAGCACACACAAGCACACACACACACACACACACACACACACACACACACACTTTCCTCAGAACTACTACTCTTTTGGTTGTGAGCTCTTTCCCCTCTGCAGGATGTAACAAGAAAAAGTACTGGAATAAACAGAAAAAATGATCGTGAGGCAAACATCTGGAAGGGTGCTCAGGAAAAATCCAATACACATTGTGATTACAGGCAAAAGCTCAATGCTAGACATATTTCAATCTAGTAAAAGAATCGAGATATCAGTAAATAAAGGATAACGGTTTACAAAACAGAAGCACACACACTTCTTTAGCATTGCAGGCTGAGAAATTCTAGTGCTAAGTCTCCTAAGATGCAGTGTAAACAGCAGGAAAAATCACTGCAGGTAAACCAATTAATTGCACGGCAGGGCTGTGGAGCCAGGGATTATTGGAATCCAGTTTGATCCATGTGACAATTCTCATAAGTCTACCAATCCTTTTTAAAAATCATCTAACTAATTAATTACATAGGCGTGTTTGCCCAAATATATGTCACTGCATGTATTGCAGAAGCCAGTGGAAGCTGTAAGATCCTCTGGAACAGCAATTAGGATTGTTGTTGCTAACCACCACACGGGTTTTCTGGGAGAACCACCAATGTGTGTCACCACTGGCCGCCTCCCCAGTCCCACTAATCCTTGGGACATGTGAATGCACTTGAAGCTCGCTGAGAAACAGTGTCCTCCCAAATGCACTTGCTCAAGAGGGCCAGTCTACGCGGAGCATCTTCCTGGACTGTTGTTACTCACCTCAACCCCCGGCCAAGATCACAAGACGCCGTTTCATGAGTAAAAATACTGGGATGGAGGCCGAGTTTTACCTAATTAGTCAGGAAGGAGTGAACTGCATCCTGTAAAGTGTCTGTCCTTAGCTGAGTGGTGGTGGTGGCAGTATACATGGTTAATCCCAGCACCTAGAGGCAGGAGTTCCAAGGCAACATAGGTGGGGCGGGAGGGGACATGTCTGAAAAGTGTCCATCCTTGCTGGTCATTCTGACCCAGGTACCTGGTGAAGTTTTCGGTGTTGGCTCAAGAATGAAAAGGTTGGGGGCCTAGAGCCTTCATAGAAAGGGAAACAAGAGAGGAGAAAAGCTCCTTCCAAGTCCCTTCAGAAAGCCTTTCTGGACAGACCTTACGTCTCCAAAGGCTTGGAGGAACCCTTTCCACTAACTGCAAATGGGTATTCTTCCTTAACTGAGGAGTGAGTCTCAGGTGCACATCCCCAGAGTTAGATGTTATCTTTCACTGTGACCTACACACTGACTCTTGTATGGGGGCTCTGCTTTTAGACTCTGACAGCAAGAGAAGTTCACAGAACAGAAGACATAAGGCAAAGATCCCATTTAAAGAAAGAAAGAAAGAGGGAGGGAGGGAGGGAGAGAGAGAGAGAGAGAGAGAGAGAGAGAGAGAGAGAGAGAGAGAGAGAAAAGCAAACAAACAGAGAGAGAGAAGCTGTGGGAAAGCTCTAAGTAGTTAAGTAATTCCCACTGTAGACATAAAGCCCGTTTTGTGGTTTTTGGTGCCCCCCTCCCAGGTAGTTACATTGCTTAAAAGGAATTTAAGAAACACTGACACCAAAGTTGGAGAAATTGCATTACCCGACATTATGAGCCCCTGAATTAAAGCAAAAAAGTCCTACATGCAAACACCAAAATCTTAACTTTTTTCATTTCTTCCAACAGGGATGGACACATTCAAGGTCCATCCCAATCACACACACACCCATTTCTCTGTGTGGTCCTAGAACTCTCTCTGTAGACCAGGCTGGCCTTGAACTCAGAGACGCACTTGCCTCTGCCTCTGAGTGCTGGGGTTTAAGGTGTGCACTGCCACTCAGCTAAGGACAGATAGTTTTCAAACTTCTACAACACTGAAGTTGACTTTAACGACAACAACAACAAATCTCTAAAAAACCCAAAAAAAAAAACCTTCCCTTTTTATTTTGCAGCTAAAATATCTGGAAAGGCGATGCTGGGGCAAGAAGATTATAAACACAACGCTGTGCTTAGGCTTCGTGAGGACCGCGTACTAATGGCTCCTGAGCAGCAACACGAGCTATAACAAAGGCTGGTCCCCATGGCCGTTCTTATCTGGAGACTTCATGGATCCCCAAAACTCAGCTCCCACCACCAAAGGCTCTGTCCACACCCCACCCACAATGCCCATGCCAGCTCCAAGCGCCATGTCACATTTCAGAAAGGCTCTCAGACAAAGAAGTAAAACATGAATACATCTGTTGGCACCTGGAACTGGCAATCCTCCCACGTTACTGTAAATGTGCCTCCCTTTGTTGGCCACATAGACACTAAACACAGGAAGTGACTGGACCGGCCCAAGATCATGCAGCTGCCAAATGGCTGAACTGGAACTCTATGCAAGTGGGTGCAACCGTGAGGAACGAGACCAAGGAGCACTAGTCTTATGTTCAGTGGTTATTTTATTTAAAATAAGTAATTATTAAAATTTTATATTTATACATTTCAACCCTCAAAGTACCATAAATTAAAAGTCAGATGCAAGAAGCAGGTAAGATTAGTAACATTTATTGAATTACTCAGACAAAATGTCTCTTATACTGACACCTCGTAACTGAGGAGAGTCGGCTGGGGCAGACTGCTCTGGAGCCATACCATGAGACCAGAAGCCCCCCTCAGCCTTCTGTGTCCTTCAGAGAGCCAGGTCCTGGGAGTCACAGTTTCTTTTTCTTGACTTCGTTTCTTAGTTTCTTTTTCCCCAACACAAAACATGGCTGTCAAAAAGTCACCAAGACTTTCCTGTTGCACTAACCAGGAGTTGTGTAATCCTAGCCTACAGTCTACCTACTCACAGAAGACCATCACGCTACCACACTCAGTCAGTTTAACTGTAACCAAGCGCAAAGAAGGCACTGCAGCTGCCCAGGCCACCCAGACTCTTTCCTTTACGGCTCCAGAACACTGGACAGTTGCAGTGCTTCATTGATGGGACACTGGAAGCTACCAAAGTGCATGCTGCTAAGAGGTTCCTTCCAGTTCTGAAAGATATGCAGACACGTAAGCAAGTTACTGGCCAGCAGACTCCTGAATGTGAACAGGCAGCCATGACAACCTGTTTTCACTGAGCCATGACCACCCTATCCCACCTTTCAAGGATCTCAGGCAAGGTAGGTAGATACCCAACAACAGCTAACCAGGGTCAGCACCAGCAACGCATCCAAGTCAAGCCTAAAGCCAATAAAGATGCCCTGCATTTCCCCCAGTACCAAGGCACTAGGAGCTCGGACCTTATGTCCTCCAAAGGCCTGGTCCCCCACCTTGCCATTACCAAGTGGTAGTGGGACTCAGTGTCCTA